TTTTCCCTGCAGACCCTGTTGTGGCCACCAAAGCCTCTCTCTCTGCCACGGGGTTGCTGCACCCACCTGAATTCAGGCATCCCTGCAGGAGCCAATTTTGACTCAGCTTGAGTAAATGGAGTTCTGCAGGGTCAAATCCAGCCCTTGAGCTCCTTCCTGTCCACAAGGTCTCCTACCCTTATGTCTTAGTGGCAAGGACATTGCCGCCCACAGCATGAGCAGGACCCAAGCTAGATGTAGGATAAGGAGTCAGGGGTTTTCCCTGGCCCTTCTCAGCTCCACCAAATCAGAATAGCTACAAGTTGTTCCCACCAAATATCAGCTTCTCTCCCCTCTCCTCACTGTTGGCAGGGGGCTGTAAAAGCTAGGGCAGGTGATTTCATCCATCAGGCAGCACCTGCCAGATCCCTGCTCTGCTCCATTACGGTCTGCGGCAGGGCTGGGACAGAAGCCAGTGTTTTGTTCCTCGTCCTTTGACAACATACCCACACTGCTGTCCAAGGCTTTCCTTCCAGGGGAAGGCAACATATGTCCCACACATTAATGAAAAGGAAGTGTGATGGGATTGAAGCACAAGCCCCTCTGCAAGGAGGAAAATTCCTGCACAATTTGGGGAGAGTCTCAGTGTCCACAGATTTCCCCCTAAACCAAATGCCATGTGGTGCTTTCCTGGCACTTACCCTCTGTAAAAGGTGACTTCTGGAAGGGGGTCCAGCCCAGCAACTTCTCCACCCTTGGTCCATCTGTGAGAACCAACCCAGTTCTCTGGGTCAATTCTGCATCTGATCCACAGCATCCCACGATAGCCCTGGAGACTGTAGAGAATCAAGAATTTAGGACTCATGGGCAGTGCACATCATAGGGACATACATGAGTGTTTTCCAGCACTTGTTAAGGTCTGGGGATCTTCCAGGGCAGATTTTTCTAGAAGGAAGAGTAGCTAGGGAGGGCAAAATGCATGTAGACTCTCCTCCATGCCATTAACTTTATCTGCCATGGCAAAGGGTTTACTCACATGGCAGGGAGCAGAGCCCATCTACTGTTGCCTCTTCATCAACCCTGCAGCTACATCAGCTGGGCAATGTCCCCTGCAAGCGCTCTTCTGATGACAGGCTCGTGTTTGTGTGTGTTGTGACTGTGGGCATTACTTGCTCCATTTCTCCTTCTGGTTCTCCTGCTTCCTGGTGCAGGAGCAAGACAGTGGAAAAATGTCTCAGGAACATGTGTGTTGGAGGGAAAATGGGAGAATGTTCAATGGAGGTGTTCTATGGGCATGTGAGTTCACTTTCTCTGAAGCTGCTGATAAAAAGAGGTTTCCCAGACAGCTCAGTGATGATCCCACCCTTCTCTGTCCTCCATGTAGTGAGGATCCTACTCTTTGGTGTCCTTCACAAAGTCATGGTAAAGGCTCCTCAATTTTCTGAGCTCTGATTCCATCAAGTCTGGGTCCAAGACCTTCTTGGGTAGAAGCTCTCCTTCGCCGCTGAAGATAATTCATTTGTGAGGAGCTGTTCAGTATAACAGAGCCTAAATTCAATTTCCTAAAAAAAAAGCAGGCATGTTCAGACACTGGACTCTGGTTTAGGTCCTTACAGAGTTCACGAAGAGAGACATCTTGAAAGCTGATTCAGCCATGTGCCTTGAGCCCATCTCAGCAGTGCAATAGTTTGTTGTGCTGTGCCCAATCTCAATTTCTTCCCCTGCAGCAGGGGATAAAAGAACACTCAATTCCCCTTTTTAGAGCCACAAAAATGATCAGAAAGATGGAACACCTCTCCTATGAGGAAAGACTGAGAGAGTTGGGGTTGTTTAGCCTGGAGAAGAGAAGGCTCTGGGGAGACCTTATTGCAGCCTTTCAGTACTTAAAGGGGACTTATAAGAAAGATGGGAACAGACTTTTTAATAGGGCTTGTAGCAATAGGACAAGGCATAATGGTTTTAAACTAAAAGAGGGTAGATTCAGACTAGCTATAAGGAAGACATTTTTTTATGATGAGGGTGGTGAAACACTGGAACAGGTTGCCCAGAGAGGTGGTAGATGCCCCATCCCTGGAAACATTCAAGGTCAGGTTGGACGGGCCTCTGAGCAACCTGATCTAGTTGAAGGTGTCCCTGCTTATGGCAGGGGGGGTTGGACTAGATGACCTTTAAAGGTCTCTTCCAACCCAAACTATTCTATGGTTCTGTGATTTTTGAATAGGACTGGAAAAATATAACCTTCTCCTGACAAAAACTGAGAAGACATCCATCTCCTCAGAGTGGTGTGTGGTATCACAATTCTGACAACCTCCTTTAGAGCTGTCTGGCATCCTGCTTTGCTGCTCTGTGCCACAGAAGACTTTTAAACAGAGCCCTGTCCTATCCCTATTTTACACGGCTCAGTTAAGGGATTGCTAGGAATTATTATGGGACACTAGCACCCGTCCCTTCCATAACTATTATTCCTTCTCCTACATGCTGATTTCAGCTGAGTCAACACCTTCTTCCACCTACAATCTCAAGATATTCACTGCAAGATTTAATACTGTTGCCTATTCAGCGAACAAGCTTGAAAATTTTCCACTAACGCTTCACTTTTTTTCCTTCCTTTCCCCTTCCCTCTGGGAGGGTGATAAATGACTGAAAATCAAGAGATGATAGAAGCTCTTCATTCATCAGCTACGGTTGCAACTCCTCCTGAAGTCGAGTGTGGGAACCACGTCTGGGACAAAGCATGGCCCTGAGCCCAGATGTGCCTTCTCCACCTTAACAGCAGCATCTGCTTCCCAATATGGCATGCTCTGCACTATCTCAGGCACAACTTGAAACTTTGCAGCTGTTGCCACTCCAAGTCTAGCTCTAAATCCAGCAAGGAGGGAGAGGCCGGGATAGTGGGGGAGTGCAGGGCACTCATTATACTGTGCACGGGGATGGGAACAAACTTCTCATGCATCACACAAAAGTACAAAACCAAGCCAGTCCTTGCACAGGAAGGACCAGGCGGTCCCTGAGGAGGTGAACAGAGCATAGGTACCAATATCTCATCCTGGAGAAAAGTCTCCTCTTTCTTTCAGTCTTGCATTTGTAAGTCCATAGAGCTATTCTCTAAGTACAAAGGTTTTGTTGACAGGCTGGGAGAAACTCAAGCATCTGCACCATAGACAGTAAGAATGACAGAGTCCGAGTTCATGTACCCTGCCCAACATTGGACTATAGGGTGGTTTCTTCTCTTTTGTTCTTCCCCCTGTTCCAACTCCCAAGATGTAAGGAAGTGAAGGCAAGATCATTAGCCAGACAGGACTCATGGAGGCCTTCCAATCACACTTGTTTCCAAGTCATAAGGAAGTGAAAAGCAGATGAGGGCCCAGGCATGTGCCTGAGCTGGAGGTCACTTCTGAAAGGCTGGATGCCTGGGTCGGGGGCACATAAAGTCAAGGAGGATGTTCCTGAAATTGGGGAAAGAAACTGCCCCTCGATGTGAGAAAACTCAAAATAGAAAATCAATAAAATAACCAGACAAAAAAGATCAGCTCAGTCTTCCTGGGAAAGGTCCAAGAGTGAAAAACTAATTCCAGAAAATGAGGTCAACCTTCTCTAATAACCATAGCTACTGTTTGTGCTCCAGTGAGACATGCATGTGTGGAGTTTACCTCTCCTCTATTTATGGATTTGGCCTCTTGACCTGGAATTCAATGCCTCTCAGTTGATCCTGTCGTGTTGTGACGGGCCATATTCTGCATGTTTATTGCATTGGCACCAGTGTTGTCTTTTTCTAAAGGGTGAGGGAAAAGAGCAGTCCAGGGCTGACACTAAAATCCAGCATCCATCCTCCCTGTCCTCCTAAACAACTAAATTTGATGCAACTCCCTACTTTATTTTTTTCTGTCCTTTTTCCCAGAAGGGACCTCTAAAGCTACTGTAAACCCTCCTGGAGAGAACATCTGTGCAAGCCCCACAAAAGATGGGGGTTTGGTACCCAGTTTAGAGCAGGAGGTATCCCATCATGAGGTGGGACTTCAGAGGATTTTGGAGATTTGGGTCCTTACAGCATTGGCCAGCAGAGACATCTTGAAAGCTGATCTGTCCATGTGCTTTGAACCCATCTCAAGAATTGGATAGATCGTTATGCTTTGTCCAATCTCGGTCTCTTACGCAGCCAAGGGTGAATGGTTACTTAAATCCCCGCTCTGAGAGGGACATTATACCCACAATGACTCTACCACCAGTACGGAAGGGCTGTATGAGGATCGAGGAACATGTTGGGGGGGGTCCTCAGTGGAATCTCAGACTCTCTACTTCTACCTTCAGCTTATCTACGCTCAGCCACTTCAGCCCAGTCCTTGGATACATTTTATTAACCCCTCTCTCAAATGACTGCAGCCACAGCATCACCGAAGTGTGCAGGGTCACCCTTTGTCTCCCCGTGCCAGGTTTTTTCTCAGGGTCTGGACAGCTGGATTGGTTCAAAGCATGCCACAGACTTAGTGCCATTTGGTCCAGCACCTTTCTGCAACTGCCAGGGATGCTTCTGTCTAATCCCAGTTCATATCAGGAAGATGAAAAGAGAGGTATTTTCCTCTCGTGTCACACGGTGGTGGCTCAGTGGCATTGCGGTGGCCTTAAGCTGGTGAATTCTCAGCAAGGAGATTTTGTTCCCACAGAGACACAGGAAAATTGACCCGGGGAGGGGACAAGAGGGGGGCAGCAACATCAGTTTTAGTTTACTAGAGATGTTCAGGCATTAGCACCGTGAGGAAGGCTGGAGCCCTCTTTAGTGTTTCCAGCACTTCATAAATTTCAGAGAAATTTAGGGCAAGGAGCCAGATGTTTGGGGAGAAATTCTGAACACTAAAGACAAGTGGAAATTTTTTTTTTTGGTAGTGTGTATTTTTTCCCATTAGTTGCAAGGCTATATTTAGAAGGGGGGGGGTGGGGGAGAGAGAGAGAGAGAGATTAGGCATTTCTTCATATTCTGTAGTCACTCCAGTTGTTCTGCTTGTAAGAACAGATGTCTCTTTCCTGGGGTGATAGCACTCAGGTCCACAAGGAAATTTTCTTACCGGCAGCTCCTCTAACGTAGAAGGGAGATCGGGCCAGAGGTAAGTCAATGCATCGTGGAGGAATATACTACAGGGACCATTGCAGTGAATGCTTTTGGATATTGGTCAGAGAGAAAGGGGGGGCGGCATGGGATCGGAGAGTTGACAGCGGGGGGCCAGGACGGAATTGCTGGAGACCAGACCCCAAGTCCAGAGTGGAAAGCATGGCTATTGTGGCAGGGAGCCCTGGCAGGGATGGTGGCAGAGAGGGTCGTGTGTTGAACACGTGGATGAACAGCTCGCAAAGCCCCTGGCTCTGCCCATATGGCAGGTGTAGAAGTTCATCAGGAGGTGTCCGACCTGGAAAGCCAGGCTGTGCTGGCAGCTGTGAATGACTGCGAGGGGATTGTCCCACTGTGAGCTTCTCTGTTTTTGGGGTTTGGAGCACTGCCATGATATTTGCTTGTTTCCCAAGGAGATGAGGAGTGTTGAAAAGCGCGTGAAGGTACTGGCTTTCCCCCATTGAAAAGTACTATGCCAGCTTTTGCGAGGAGTGGGGTGATGTCTTGTTTGTATCTGCGTATTCCCAGGCATAATGAAATTTGGGGGAAATACATTCAGGCAGATTTTGGAAGCCAGGAGAGGAGACAGTGCACTGCCTGGCATGGGGTCAGCTGCGACTGGGGATGTTTTACCTCTGTTTGGCCATGCAGCAGGGTGCAAGCTCAGCTCTAGGAAAGATGCTGTTTTCTTTCTCTGAATCCACTTGCTGGGTCAGTCTAAGGAGAAACAGATCCCTTCCAAGGTCTTTAACCAGGCTGCTTCAGAAATGCCCCCTGCTTTCATAGCAACACACTCACTAACAGCTCAAAGTTTTTCCAGATTAACCTGGAAAATCCAAAACTTGCAAATCCCTGAAAGCACTGTGAGCACAGTGCCTAGCAAAGGAAACCACAGAAATCAGTCTTCCAAAGGGTTAAGATCTGGTTATCCATCCTGGAATGCCTCAAAAAACGTCTGCTCCCTGACCAGGTCTCCCATCTCGCTGCCTTCCCTGGGCCAAGCCCAGGCATGGCTCCATGCCTCAGTTTCTCCCTGCAGCCAAGAGAGCAGCACAATTTGAAGTGAGTGCTGGGCTGCAGAGCTGCATCCATAATGGGCTGGTCTGCTGCTCATGGCGCACCTGACCCCTCTCCGCACTACATCACCCCTTCATACCTTCTTGCATTTGTGTCACCTCCATTCCCTGTGCTCCCTGGGGTATGAGCATTGTTTCTTCTGTCCTGCATCCCTGGGCCATGCAGGACTTCAGGTATTCCTCAATAGCAAACCTCTGTTGCTGCACTTTCCTCACTGTCTTTCTCAGGCTTTTTGCCAAGGGACAGAGCAAGCAGGCAGCTGAAGGCAGAAAGAGGGAAAAGTGCTCAAAGATTGCAATTAAAAGTTTCCTTTTCAAAAGCAAGCAGCAATGCACAGGCTAGATGTCACTCATTTTAATCTTCCGAGGTGTTTTTTGCACTTGCCTGTGAAGTTCCTGTATGTGCCTATATGGTAATTTTGACTGCAGGGTTCTCCTTGTACACAGCCATGATAGCTGTTATTCCAAACTGACATTTCTAGCACTTTGTCCCAGGCACCTTTGAAATGCTAGATTGATTACTGTAATCCCAATAAAATCAAACACATTTCTCTTGTACTGTTACAACCTCCCAAGAAGACAGGCACAAATCCGTCTCTGCTGGGTGGACCTATAAAACTCCAAATCCACATGTTTCTTTCCAGATCTAGCTTTAAAAAAAAATTTAAACCTTCTTGGAAAAAAATTTACCCAAAAAATATGTTCTTTCCCATCATATTATACTGGTCCACAAAGGACAGAAATTGATACACGCAGGAAGTCATGCTCTGATTTCTCTTTAAGTATCAGAGCTAGAAATACACAGCACTTTTACTGCAGAGATGTCACTCCAAGCTCCCTTGTGACAGATGGCACTTGGTACTAGCCCTGACAGGCTATGACATATTGGTCTTTTAAATGTTAACTGTATGATTTATAGAGCATTCACCAAGACACTTAATATTTCTGTCACTCCAAGGCCAAGATCTGGTAATGCAGAAAAGAGGGGCATGAAAAATGCAATGGTATCCATAAAGCATTGTAGATGTCTAAACGTTTCAGGAGGGACTTTTCTACAGAGTGTGGTATAAACAAGCAAGTGGAGGTGTAAACCCTTTTTTAGCACTTTAAGGTGACCAGTACTAGCAAGCCTCATTAGACGTGTGCTGAATGACCTGTGGGTGCACATTTGCAGGTCTGGAGAGGCAATGTATGTATAATCCCACTTATTTGCTTGCTTGTACATGTACATCTGTGTTCCTTCTTCCAAAGGCTGAGGCATTACTGTTGCAAATGGGCATAGAGAAGGTATAAGCTCATAAGAAATCTGCCAACACGTGAATTTCCTGCTCTGTGTATCTTTGGGAGCTTTATTCCATATTTGCCATGCATGCTCAGGACAGGGCTGGGGGAGGACCATGCAGATCTTCCCAAGTTTTAAATAGATTGTCTCTGGGGTGTCCAGGAGTGGTGATCCGCCACCCGGTATTAAGCAGCAGGTTCAAGCCTAGATGCAGAGAGTGGGCATCTGGGCCAAACTGAGTGGCCTTCCTGCCATCTGGGTCACGTTGCTCCATAAAGAAGAGGAATGCAGTTTGGAGAGCTGTGCTCTCCCTCTTCAAACTGGCAGTGATCTCTCATGGCCTAGGATGACCTGTTGGACTAAATCATTGCTTGGACACCCACAGGCTATTGCTTGTCCCAAATTGAACCAGGCATCTGGGTCCCTTACCCCCAGAGGGCCTGATTTTGGCCTTAGGCTTGCTGGGTGGCATGGGGTCCGCCCATGTGCACACACAGCATTGAAAACACAGCATGGTGGGTGGAGGTCAGACCACAACTCACAGCAGTACCCATTGCCCATCCACAGCAGGGCCTTAGACATGAAGGACCACATGTAGGCTAACTGGGTGTATCAGGCTAGAGGCAAATGGCTCAACAGCACATCAGCCCAACAACCAACATTGCATTAGCTTCCACACATTCTTAGTCTGTGATTGCTTACATGACTTGAAGAACAACCCCTGGCTATGCCTGGGACTGAACATACAAATTTTTCCTCTGGCCATATGGGAAATCTGATTCTCATGGGCAACTTTAGAGATGCAAAAGTCAGTAGCAGGGGGTTAATCCCTCTTGCTGTTGTACAAAGTAGGTTCACACCTTTCTCCTTTCAGACAAAGGCTGTAATTCAGCACATGACCATTCAAACCACTGGACAAAGTAGGAGTTGCTGGCCATCACGGTCTTCATTACACATAGGCAAGCATACCATGGCTAACTAGTGCAGACACCAGGCAATTAGCTATCATCTGTCCCCAGTCAGGCTAGTTCTGAGAGAACCAGTTATCCTCAGGGTACTCTGCCCCCTGAGCTGGAAGACAAGGACGGAGAGCAGAATATGCCCCCCATAATCCAGGAGGAAATAGTTAGTGACCAACTACACCGTCTGGACACTCACAAGTCTATGGGACCAGATGGGATCCATCCAAGAGTACTGAGGGAGCTCGCAGAGGAGCTTGCCAAGCCACTCTCCATCATTTATCAGCAATCCCGGTCAACAGGGTTGGTCCCAGACGACTGGAGGCTTGCCAATGGAACGCCCATTTGCAAGAAGGGTCAGAGGGAGGATCCGGGGAACTACAGGCCTATCAGCCTGACCTCAGTACCGGGGAATATTATGGAGCAGTTCATCTTGAGTGTGCTCACATGGCATGTGCAGGACAACCAGGGGATCAGGCCCAGCCAGCATGGGTTCATGAACGGCAGGTCCTGCTTGACCAACCTGATCTCCTTCTATGACAAAGTGACCCACCTAGTGGATGAGGGGAAGGCTGTGGATGTTGTCTATCTGGACTTCAGCAAGGCCTTTGACGCTGTCTCTCATGGCACACTCCTTGAGAAGCTGATGACTCATGGCTTGCTTAGACAAGTGTACTCTTCGTTGGGTAAAAAACTGGCTGGATGGATGAGCCCAGAGGGTTGTCATGAATGGAGTTAAATCCAGTTGGCAGCAGGTCAAAAGTGGTGTTCCCCAGGGCTCAGTATTGGGGCCAGTTCTGTTTAATATCTTTATCAAGGATCTGGACGAGGGGATCGAGTGCACCCTCAGTAAGTTTGCATATGACACCAAGTTGGGAGGGAGGGTTGATCTGCTTGAGGGTAGGAAGGCTCTACAGAGGGATCTGGACAGGCTGGATTGATGGGCCAAGGCCAATTGTATGAAGTTCAACAAGGCCAAGTGCCGGGTCCTGCACTTGGGTCACAGCAACCCCATGCAATGCTACAGGCTTGGGGAAAGTGGCTGGAAAGCTGCCCGGTGGAAAAAGACCTGGGGGTGCTGGTTGACAGCCGGCTGAATATGAGCCAGCAGTGTGCCCAGGTGGCCAAGAAGGCCAACAGCATCCTGGCCTGTATCAGAAATAGTGTGGCCAGCAGGAGCAGGGAAGTGATTGTCCCCCTGTATTTGGCACTGGTGAGGCCGCACCTCGAGTCCTGTGTTCAGTTTTGGGCCCCTCACTGCAGGAAAGACATGGAGGTGCTGGAGCATGTCCAGAGAAGGGCAACGAAGCTGGTGAGGGGCCTGGAGCACAAGTCTTATGAGGAGCGGCTGAGAGAACTGGGGTCATTTAGACTGAAGAAGAGGAGGCTGAGGGGAGACCTGATCGCTCTCTACAACTACCTGAAAGGAGGTTGTAGTGAGGTGGGTGCTGGTCTCTTCTGTCAGGTGGCTGGAGATAGGATGAGAGGAAATGGCCTCAAGTTGCCGCAGGGGAGGTTTAGATTGGATATTAGGAAAAATTTCTTTACTGAAAGGGTTGTCAGGCATCGGAACAGGCTGCCCAGGGCAGTGGCTGAGTCACCATCCCTGAAGGTATTCAAAAAGCACGTAGACAAAGCACTTCGGGACATGGTTTAGTGGGCATGGTTGATGGTTGGACTC